GAGGTGAAAAATCGGCAGTTCACGTTTTCTCTTGGAATTTCACGGTCTGCTAAGACCATGAAGAGGAGCTATTGCCCGTGAATATCAAGGCGTCAAGAGCGAATTCTGAAGTTACTTACGCTGAGTGAGTTCACGGTCACTAAGACCGTGAACTGGAGTTGTTGCCCGTGAACCTGTGCAAGCGAAGTAGTGCGTTTTGACGCCAATCTTGAGTTCATGGACGTGTTCAAGAGTTCACGGTCGTGAACTGAGCCTGATCCCTGTTTAAAAGGAGAGTTGAAAGGAAGAGAGAAGGGGGGAACCCAAGAGTGAGAAAGTGTCTTCTTCTTCATATTTTAGAGAGAGAGAGAGAGAGAGAGAGAGAGAGAACGAACAAAGGAAGAAAGAAGGCTAGGGTTTGCTCCAAGTGGTGAATTGAGAAGATTCTCCCCAAGAGAAGATCAACACAAGCTCAAAGGAGATTTGAGGCTTCACCATGATGGTTTCTACCTCTTCCTCTTGTGTTCTTCCCCTTTCTAGCATGGAGTAGTTTCCTTTTTCACTTGGGTGTTGTGAAACCCTAAGTATTTGCCAAGTAGTTGTTATGTGAATTGAATGATTGTTTATGGGTGTTACTTAATCTAATTGGCCATTCTAACCTAGATTAGAGGGAAATCCCTCTTTCAAGGGAGGCTCAATTGAGTTAATTTTCCTAGGGCTTCTTAAGCCACCTATCTAGGTTAGTGTAGGGTAAACCTCTATGTTGAACTAAGCAATTTGGTTAAGCGTGATTAATCCGACCAACCATTGGGTTGAGTGAGGGAGTAAGTCAACCATCGATTGCCTTAACTGAGAGGGCCACTTGAATAGCCTACAATGTATCCCTCGGTTTGGAAATCGAGAGTGTGGTCTATGACCATATTTGCGTCCCCTAGCGGTTCGCGGTCACCTTGCCCATAGCAATCACTTCGATTCACATACCATGGTAGTAGTTAGGGGGAAGCGACACCCGAATGATCCTTCTCACAAAGAGATTTCAAAACCATTTACTTTTGCCTTGCTTTACTTTAATTAGCAAACTTTTCAACCAAAACCGATTCGCTAGATAATGATTCAAATGACTGAAGTAGGGGTACACAGACCGGCCCGAGTCGATATTTATACATACTTGCCATGTATGACACCCGACTAAGGTTTATACTTGGATCTTAGGTGAGAATTAATTGTGATATTCGAAGAGAGTAACTTCTTTCTTATTTGTGTTAGCCACGTTCGCAAAAAAAAAAACTTGGACTATGAATTAATTTTAACGGTAACTGGAGAAATGTATCGACCATCGAACAAACTTCGACTATGGACTCATTTTAATGACCACAATAAAATAAAGGGTTATAGGTATAATATGCCCCTCTACTATGACGTTTTATCAAACATGCCCTTCTGCTATTTTTTACATCAAACATGGCCCTGTACTATGAAAAAATTATCAAACATGCCCTTTTGTTTAAATTTTCATCCAAAAATCATTAACCAAGGTCGAACTTTGGTTTGGGCTGGCACAAATGTCTAAAATATCCCTAATAATTTCACTTTTCATTTCTTTTTGTCTTTTGTATAGCCAAATAATTCAAATAATTTCACTTCGAAGAGACCCAGAGAAATACAACGGGAGATAAAACTGACATTTTCTCTCCCATTTGCCGATGCCGGGTCGTCTAAATCTCGCTTCAACCATGATTGACAATTTTTTCAATGAAAATTTTAATAGAAGGGCATGTTTGATAATTTTTTCATAGTACAGGGGCATGTTTGATGTAAAAAATAGTAGAGGGGCATGTTTGATAAAACGTCATAGTAGAGGGGCATATTATACCTATAACCCTAAAATAAAATAAAATAATTAAAGTGACAAACGTGAAACAAATAAGTAATACTAGGTTTTTCTTTGCCCGCGCTCTGCGCCGGGATGGGTGGAACAATTAAGTTATTGTATTTTGATGTATAAGCTTGATCCTATTGAGGTTCTATTCTAAGATCATCGATAGTTGTTCAGGCTGAAATAGCATGTACATTGGGAATTCATATCGATCCCACAAAAGCTACAAAATTTGTGATATACCATCCATTAATGGTATACACATGGCTTGGCTTCTTAGAGCCATAAAATATCCTAGGAGACTTGCACAAAAGTTGCTGAGAAGCATAGTAGTAAATACACAGAAGTACATTAAGTCCTAAACTGTTTGAAATTGTCTCTGAGATAGTAAGTGCAGGTAGATGGGGAAGCTGTGCCTGATAGTTATTTTTACAATAATTTCCAAGGAAACTGATCATCACTTGTCAAAGGCCGAGGTGTTCCACAATGTTGCCACTCTTATTTGTATGCGAGCTGGAGGATCTGTGGAGTTCATATTTGGCCACCCAATGTATAATTCTCCTGCAAACACCTTTGCACAATTTTTGCCAATCATTGTTTTGATTGTTTCCTTCTCCAGCTTGCGATATCTTCCAGGTGATATACAAATGATTGACAGAGCTGCCTCATGATCCATTATGACCTCCACTTCGCCTGAACCGTCACGTAACATTGCTTGAATTTCATAGTGGGGTCTTACAATTAGAACAAATGTGTTAGTTATGTTGGAAATGTTTTCTAAGTCAAAGTCAAGGTTTGTGCAGGTGTAGTGGAACTTACTCTGGCCTTTGCTGGGTGGTCCTGCAAATGCTCCTTCGGTACCAAACTTGAGGGATAGTAAATTTGCAACGATAAAGGATCTGTAATATTTTTTTGTCAAGCAGGAGTGATTAGAGAACCTAGTTTTCATTTTATCTTATCTATGGAGCTGCTTAAGGGTGGCAACGTACCTTTTGAGCAGTTGGTTGACCACCAAGTTCTGTTTTGATCTCACTCAGAGTCTTCTTTGGCGGTCGTTCAGAACGCAGGTAGCCGATCTTTTCCTTCGTGATTGGATCGAAGTAAGTCACTGGTTTGCGTCTTGGAAGGAATCTGCAATGGTGTATAAACCACTTTGTAAGCAATGGTTTTTTTACCTTTTTTAAAGATAACACTTAAAATTTCAATCAAATATCTATACATGTTCATGATTTCCTTGGAGGCATCTTTGTATGATCTTATGATGAGGTGACTGGCTGCTGTTGACACAAATCGATATTGATACTTCTGGTTGTCTGGAGGAGGTAACCTCATTACATTAGTTATTGTGGTGATTAGAGGAAGGTGTGACTCAACTGTCGGTGCTATCTTCAGGTAGTCGATGATGTCCCAACCGCGGTAATTAACAATAGCCTTTGCACCACTGATTTTAGGAATATATAAGTAAACTTGCATATGTTTGTTCTGAATGTAATTGTAATATACTTGCTGAAGTTACCTCACATCTTCCATGATCACGATGAATTCCTTAAGGGTGCCCTGAACAGTTTCTGGAACTGTGACTCGTCGGATACAACCAATGATGTCTGTAATTTTCTAATTGTCAGTGCATTTACATCTTTGTTCTAAGTGTAAAAGTAAAGTATCTAGTGGTTACCTCCATGGCAGTCATAGTTGTTTTTCTGCATTGGCACCATTGAAAAGAAGGCTGCAGGGTATAAGTCCACTGGATCCTCTGGACTGTCCTCGTCTTCTTCAACATGAGAGATAAGCTGATTAGCCTTCATCATCAGTTGTAACTCTCTTGGAACTACTCTGCCCTTTGTTTTTGCTGGGACATCTGCCAGGTCATCAAGTTTATATAGGTGGCCTAATTGAAGTTTTCCATATATTTCTTCGATATCTTCCTCTTCCACATAACATTCTATCATTTGTTTCTGCAAGATTAAACATTCATAGCTCATACAGTGCCCAAACTTGTGTCATGGTAACTAACTATTTTAAATAATGGCATAGATCTGGAGTAAAACATAACGTATGGTGAGTTATTCTTTAATAATGTCAACATGTAAATAATGAACTAAATCACTTTTGTCACTTTTCATCTGTCTATAAGTTAAAAGGTTGTACTCACCTTTCGATCCAGCCAAAGCATGTGCAGCGTCCTTTTCTTCCATATGTATGCCTCTCGAAACTCAAACCATGTGTTTATAAGCCGAGCGACGACACTGCGGTGGTTGATTCCCAAACGTATCCCTCGAAAAGTAGCGGATGATTGGAGGGTTTCTGAAATTGTGTCAAAGACCACCAGAAATAGACAAACATAAACGGCATATTTTGTAGATGTATCTAGACGTTTAAAGGAACACCTATTGAGATGGAATGTGTTTACCTCGGCTGTTGCTGGGGACCATGCAATCTTCTACCGTGGTCGTGTGTTTTTGGTGCGAAGCTTCCATGGTGGTAGGGACCTTTGTTTATGAGCTGTCTTTTTGAATTGTAAATTCTGTGAGTGGAGTTAGAAGGAGAAGGCGATTTACCTTTGTTTAGGGTTTGTCTGTTGGTTCGTGGAGTAAACTTCAGCGGCGGATAAGAGTCTACTTCTGGAAATAGAATCTCTTTTTGTAGGGTAGTGCAGGGTCCACGACGTTAGTCAATGTTGTGAAATTGGGCCAAACCATTTATGTGGGCCGATATTTAAATTTGGCAAGGGAGGTGTATTTTCATTTGTGGCCCAAAATTGTTGTCTTGCAAAACGTTAAGGAGTCTGTCGTTTGGTGAAAACAATTTATTTGTATGTTCTTTTAAAAGTTCGATCAAAGGAGCATCATAAAATATTCTATTGTGTCATTCTGCAAGAACAGGAAGAACATGAAGAACCTGCCCAGAATTCAAAACGCAAACAATGTCTCCTGCTAGTTTTTTTGGTAGATACAATATTAAGGGCGGAAAGTAGTTTCTCCATGTGCCCAAAAAGATCATTTTGTGTTCCAGATGACTCCTGCATTATTGTAAAACGTGATTAGTCACTATCTCATAGACCATATTCATAAATTCTCTTTGAGTAGAACATGAAATGTGTCGGAATAAACTTTAACGCTTACCTTCATATTCATGGATGGGGAACTTAATTTCCTGTGATATCTGTGAATGCTTCTGAGAACACAATGTTTCTTGTGTGATTTCCTGGAACACCCTCTTCATTTGTTATCAGAAACCTCAGCCCAGCTGCAGATCTGACTCTGGATACGGCCACATACAATTGGCCATGACTGAATACTGGATTTGGGAGATAAATTCCAACTTTATCTAGGGTTTGTCCCTGGCTTTTGTTTATCGTCATTCCATAACATAATCGAACAGGAAATTGACGTCTCTTGAGGATGAACGACCATTTTTTGTCCTCAATGTTGAGCACAATTCGTGATATTGCTACGGGTTTTCCATCAAAGGATCCTCCCATGATATTTCCTATGATGCTATTCTGACCTAACGACGTTATCATCAATCGTGTTCCATTGCATAAACCACTTGGGGGGCTTAGATTTCTGAGCAACATTAATGGAGTGTTAACTTTCAGTCTTATCTCGTGATCTGGCACACCATTGAATGATAAAGTATTCAGAAACTCAGTGGGATAAGTTTCACTGAATGATTCAGGGACCTCTTTATCTAGGTGCATGGAATCAGAACTGTAGTAGCAATGCCCTTCTCCTTGCAGCTGTTGCAACATGTAATCATTGATTTCAGTAACAATAGCATTTGTTGGAGTCACAATCGCTCTTCCTCCTAGGTACTTTGTGTCTTTATAGCAATCTGCAAATGATTCATATATTTCTTCTGTTATTGATTGAAGTGGATTTTTTCCAGGAATCACCAGAAACATTTCTGGTATTTCAATCCAGTCTGAAGGAGTGTTCGAACTAAAGGAGTCTGTATCCAACTTTCCATCTCCAAGAGCGAGAACCCATTCTCCAAATTTAAGGCCACAGCCTACTATCACATTGTTTTCTTGTGAATCATTTAGTCTCATATTCTTTGAAAGTCTCAGCATCTGAAAAGAATTCCACAATGGTGATCTTGTGATTGATCCATCAACTGTCTATTCCCTTCCTGAATCTGTAATGACAGGTAAAGTTTGCCTGAAATCTCCACCTAAAATAATTGTTTTACCCCCAAATAGTTTATGTCCTGTTCCAGACAGAGGAATATCCATCAGATCACAAAATGTCCTGCTAATTGCCTCAAATGCATGTCGATGTGTCATTGGCGCTTCATCCCGAACAATTAATGAAGCCTCGCATATTAGTTCAGCTAAATCTGTACCCTTTTTTATAGAACATGTCGATGTGTTGTCCAAGTGGAGTGGGATCTTGAATCTAGAATGAGCAGTTGTGCCATTTGGAAGTAGTGTTGCTGCAATTCCAGAGGAAGCAACAACAATCACTATTTTGGACAAACTCTTGAGCTTTGTGATTATTGCATTGTACAGGAATGTCTTGCCTGTTCCTCCATGTCCATATAAGAAAAAGGACTTCCCTAGATTGTTGTTGATTTATAGCATCACTTCTGAGAAAGCATCAAATTGATTTGCATTGAGTGCGCAAAGCATTTCTTCAGCAGCTTGTTGTTCCTGAGTAGTGTCAAAGTTTAAATGTTGGTTTATTAGGGGATTTGAACCATCATCAGGTTGTGAATCTGTTGGTTTAGAAAGGAGGAAATGTTCGAGGGAGGAACCATAAGATCCCAATAAGGTTTCCAGTTGATGAAGCACCCAATTTCGCAGTCTCTCCTCTGAGGGCTGATATGTGTTTGAATGAAGCTGTTTTCGAAGATAATATGCATGATCTTCACCCATAAGTCTCCAAGACGACTCGAACAAAGCAGTTGGATTAGGTATTTCACAAAACATGAGCATTGAAATAAAGGTGCTCCTTATCAGATTTGGCATGCTTGAAGTTGATATTTCCTGAAGAACCTTAATCCATTCTGAAGAATCAGATAAGAGACCTAATTTTTCACACACTTTTTCATAAGTACTGCAGAACTCTCCTCGAACAGTCCTTAAGTCATTAAAGCTGGTTGCTCCTTGTACCTTTGTCAACAATAGTCTAAGGAAAAAGACATCACTGCTTCATGGAGGAACATAAGCAATTCTTCCAATGGCAAATCCTCTTTTCCTCAATGTCCCCTCATTGTATTCTTCATCCCATGTGTATGAACCTGGTATCTGAGCATATGTTAGCTTTCTAGCATCAGGATCCTGTCTATTAAGTTGAAACCAAGTTGTCAGATGTGTTTTGCCAGCTCTGGGATTCTTCAGAATGTTTTTCACATTTGATTGCCTCTTATAAGGAACATTTTGTTGCCCTTGCAAGTGTACTGCAAGTCGGACAACATTTGGTTCCCTATGATGAATAGGATATTCATTGATTCTCCAGACAGCTTCATAAGAGGATAAGGATCTACAATCAATGAATTCTTGTATTTCATCTTTTGACTTCTTTGAATTTGTGGAGGGAACTTGTTTTGAAGTCACTGAATCTTCAGCAATAATGATGGATCTATCTGGTCCTTTAGTGATATACTTAAATAAGTATTTCACCAATCCTCCTTTATGACATATCTCAACATTAATGTGAGCCTGAGCTCTAACCAGTAAATTCCTGTTATATGGAACGACATATCTATTATCCAGCACAGCCCTTCCTTTTTTCACGTGTACTCCAGAATTTCTACGTCGATAGACTACATTTCCAAACTTGTCAAATGAAGTTTCAGTGCTGAATGCTTTGGGGAAGAACTTTGAACACTTCCCATCTTTAATGCAAGGTGATTTAGGGTTGTCAATTCCACATGGTCCATGAAGCATGAACTTGACCACAGCTGCATATCCTTCTGGATCTACATGAGGATCTGGAATCTCTGCTGAAATCATCTCATCAATGTCACTGGTTGTTTATAGTTTATCCTCTTTGGCTAACCATATCAGCATGTGTACATGAGGGAGGCCTCTTTTTTGAAATTCGACAGTATAAATAACTGGAGAAAAGAATTTGTGTATCCATTAGCACTTTGTAACACTCACTGCAAGTTTATCAAAAAATATCATGTCTATTTGAGCATTTGATAATATAACCTGCACTAACTGACACAAAACTAATGGTAGAACTAATATGCCTGTATTAGTATTTACCAACACACTCTCTGTAAATGATTGCTGGGCTGAAATATGGTTCTTGAATGTCTAAATATGCATAACATAAAAGCAAGTATAAAACACTTACTTGCTATTGTTTTGCCAAAGTACGATTCTCGTTTGAATTCATCAATAAGCTTGGTCAGTTTCATATGAAATACCCGACAAACGACCATTGGCTTCAACTCACTGTTTAAACCCACCACATCTGCAAACGCCTCAACAATTTCTTCCCAAAGTGCATTACACGTAAGTGTAATGAACAAATCAGGATTTCCATAGTGCTGACAGGTTGCCATGGCGTCGTGATAAAGTTGTTGCATATATCTAGGTCCTCCGGTGTATGAAGAAGGTATAATAATACGACCAAGTTTCTCACCGTCCATATCTCCTCCAGCAAATGCATCTTCCAAACCTTGATACACTTCAGATCTCAGGTCCTTTTGATGGGTTCTAAGGAATGCCAATCGATTGAGTTCTATTGTTGAAAATGCATCAACACAATAGTGTTGTAGCGGTTTTCCACTCTTGACCAATGTATGGCCTTCATCTATCCGATACTGAAGCCTAAAAGCATAGTATTCTCTTTGCGTAACAAACTTCCTGCGCATCGATGGAGGACAGAAGGAAATGTTATATGAGATTTGGGGGTGAAAACCATCCTCTCCATAAGGAAATAATAAAGGAAAGTGCAGCGCCTCAAATTTTGGATTCAAACTTGTTATTCGCTTCAATCCTCCATTTTGATAATCTACAATGATATCTCTGTCTTCTCTATCGGGAACAAAATCTCCCGGTATCAAGGCTGCAACATCACTGCTAGTTGGAAGATCGTATTGTCGATTCCTACTTTTGATTCCAAATATTCGAAGGCGTAGATTTGGTGTTGAAGACAATTGTAGATTCTGCCGGATGCGTCTAAATGTCTTCACCAATTCATTTGTTTCATCAAGCATCCTGAGTAAAGATGCCAGTAACTCAGGTAACAACACCTCTTCTCGAGTTGAAAAGTTTGCTAATCTATTGTCAACCTCACTATCAGGTTCAAAGATATATAGCTGAGCAAACTTTGGTCGTTCTCCTTCAACTGGCAGCAAGGAACCAATTCTATGATAGTTCTCTCCGCAAATCACCATCGAATAAGGTCCTCGACTTGTTAGAGATCGAGGATCCAGTTTTGCTCCAAAAGATGTGAAACATAACGAACCATTATAAGGCCTTATATTTTCTCTAAAATGCTTTGATAATGCTCCACCATTGATGTCAAGTAACTGGGCAAGAAGGGGAGGTGGCTGCTTCAATAATGGGAGCTTCACTCTTCCTTTTTGACAACACAGAGTATACACCGGAGTAGTTGTCTTTCTATGATGATCCAATCGTTCATAGTACCAAAACAATGCCCCACAGAACCGACAAACACATTCTGGTTTTCCAACATTCAGTATATCATTATGCAGTGGTTTTCTTGCAGTGCAAACCTCTTTGTTGGCAAAGCCAGATTGCCTCTTCGGCCCATTACTTGGAGGATTCTGCCTTGAGGTTTGAACTTCCATGTGTGTTGTGTAAGGGTCCCTAGGAGTTGTAATTGTGGAAATGTTTCCTGAGAGCTCTGTACCTTCAACCGAGAGCATAAAAGGAAGCTGGCGTGATTTCTTATTAATCCTCGTGTTGTCCATCAGAACTGGTGGAAAAGAAGATGGCGTGTCATCAGTGATTCCCGAACTTAGAGAATCTCCATTCAACTTTCGTTTTAACACCTTGTTAGTTGTTGGTAGGGATTGCAATGGGTAGGGTCGGGTGCGGGTTTACCTTATACCAACTCCTAACCCGCCGGGTAGAGCCTTCTAAAATACCCAACTAAATACCCATCGGGTATGAAAATTATATAACCATACCCTACCCACCGGGTAACCGCGGGTATTCGGGTAACCATGGGTACGAATCCTAAACTATGAACTTATACACATATATGCACATACATATTGTTGTCCATTAAAAATCCACACAAGTAAAAATAGCAAACACATAATAATTTTTCTTGCTTCTACAATCCACACAAACATAATAATCGTCTACATCTCCATCACAAATAATGGTAGCTAAACTCAATTTCTCAAGTTAAACTAAATTTCTCAAGGGAAATTGACCCTTTGGTTAGCGGGGCGGGTATAACGGGGCGGGTATTATCGATTACCATACCCGTACCCTACCCTTTATTTTGAAACCGGGTATTACCCGTACCCGCCCCTTAACCCGTCAAAGCGGGTAATTACCCTCGTTGACCGGTTACGGTCGGGTAGGGTACCCATGGTTACGGGTTGGATTGACATCCCTAGTTGTTGGCTTCTTTCTTGATGTCATGCTGCATTAATGTAGTAAAAACATAAATTATTGAAGTTTCCCTTACATGGAAACTTCGATGCGCAATAATGGTAAAGAATGGATGTCATCCAACTCTGCAGAATGAATAAAAGACTGACAAACTAATGAATGACATACAGACTAATCTGAGAATGAATGAATGAATGAATGAATGAACCTCAGAATAACTCACATGACTATAGATTCTATGAGTTCTGCAACATTATATAGGAATATTCCAAGCTTAACTGTTTCTCTGCAGAAGCTCTGGTGTATTTATGGCAGTTAGGAAAGGAAACTGTGAGAATCATAGACTTGAGCAGGAGAAGCACTGTTTGAGAATAAATGGATGATCTAAATTTTGCTCTTACTAAACTACTTTTTTATATATCCCCATGTAATCATTATAAATCTGTTTGGTACATAGCATTAAATGAAAATTGATAGGTGTCAGTTATACTCAATTGGTGACATAAGCATATGCTAATGAAAGCAATGATGACCTGTTAGCATCACATAGATATACTTGCATCTAATTTTCTGTAATCACCAAAAGAGTATCAATTAGTATAATTTTTACTGTCAAAGTTCGATTTTCAAATGTTAGATTTAATTTAGCACAAACATTTGAGAACAAAATATAGTTTAATAATGTAGGATGTGGTAGAAACATTAGATGCACACACTTCACAAACAAATTTCATTATGGATATAGATGCACACACTTCGCAAACAAATTTCATTATGGATATTTGGTTGATGAAACCAAGCATTTCACACACCTTTGCCAACAGAAAGACAAAGCACACAAAACAACAGAGATACCCTAACTGATACTTAACCGATATCTAGATTTATACAGGATTACATTATGCCAGTACTTGCAACCATTACCAAAACATACTAACAGAAATCCTACACCACCACATTTTCGAAACCAGAATCCAAGTAGTTACAACCTTCACACTACTAAGCTGCAAGAGAGCTGGCCAGAATATTCACAAAACAACTGTCTATTTCAGTTCACTGATACATCAAAGATCAACAGGATGATTGGGAAGACAAACATGCATCAAAGAAGTCCCCCAAAAGTTCCATGAAGAAGCCATCCAACACAACCCCCTGAGAACTTCCGATTTCCCAAACACCTCCAAAAGAGGATTTGACACCTTCAAAAGCTAACTTCAAAGTACCAGCAACAACTCCCTCAAGCTCCAAACGTTATCCTACAAAGTAATATAGACGAACAAAATTTTGTTCATGACAAACCAATCCTGGGATGGGATTGCACGATAACAGAACACTGGAATTTTGGATGCAATGTTGTAAGCACACCCAATACCTCATTTCTCGTACAGGAGACGCTTGGCTGAGGATTTCTTGACAGATGCCTGTGGTGAAGCCATGTTCTCAAGCGAGAAGGCTGATGGACTCTGAGCAGGTCCGTCGGAGCTTCCACTTTCAGGTCCCCTAGATCCTGAAGATTCCAGTTTTTCAACCTTCACCTTTGCCAGCGGTGACACCAACCTGGATCATTTGAAAGGAATCAGATTAATCAAAAATAAAAAAGGTCACATTCCAGCACAGTTGCAGAATAATATAGTAACCAAAACGGCTTATAGATTTGCCGACGGGGATGAAGAGGGTGTTGATGTAGATGATGTCTTGCTAATTTTACTCTGAGGAGTTCCAATCTCTTCCCTGACTGCACCCGATGAAGATAATGACTTACCAACCTTACTTTTAGGAGTCCCAAACTCCTTCCCAACTTCACCCGCTGAAGGCAGAGAGGGTTGCTCACACGAACTCATTGAATCAACAATACCACCCTGCGGCAAAGATGGCCTAATTTCAGGAATTTTTTCATCCCCAACAAACCCCAGACGAACAGCGTCTGGTGAGCCTGCAGGAACTCCAAGGATTGGATTCTGAACTCCGAGAACAGCTGACACAGAAGGTTGTTTGGCAGGTACAGAAGAAGTTTTGATGGTAATGGGTTGTGATAAAGTTTGAGTTCCCAAAGGCACATGACCACCCCCTCCCCCCAGCGACCAACGGACCTTGATACCGACTGTAAAATGAGACAAGATCCATCAGAAGTTTCCCAGGCAACGTGAAATAAAAACAGCTTAGAAATTCAAGAAATAACCTGAGAGGCTGGCCTGCTGCCTGCCCAATCTGGAAAGTTGGATTGCTGTTCTCAAACAACAGTGGTCTAGAAACCTTTGCCTTGCCCTTGGTCGAACTGGCAAACAACAAAAAGAACCAGTTCTGAACTCACAACCCAAACATCAACAGGAGGTAATCGTCAGGAGACCATCAAAACACTGAAAGGGAAATTTCAAACCTGGATGGAGTAGACACAGAACTGCTCACAGGCAATGATTCAGTTGGTCCAGTCAACATAAGCACTCCACACTGTTCAGTCGCGCCTTGCAAAGCAAGCTGACCCTGGGTTCCATCAGTAATTGTCTGCACTGGAGCAACAACAGTGGGTAGTAGACCCTGATTATCCTGAGGAAGCACTCGGAACACCCTGAACTCTCCGGTGGATACTCCATTCACACTCATCATAGGAAGCTTGACTTCAAACCTCACAAACTGGCCTATCAAATTACTCAGCTCAGGTGGCAGCTGGCCAGTTCTATGAGGATATCTCTGAGCAAGTACATGGGCAGACGTGAACACCAGATTATTACCAGCTGGCCCAAAAACAATAAAAGGTGCCTCTCCTCTCGAGTCACGCAAGACTAACTGAATCTTGTACCTATATAACACAGGGAACACATTCAGAAGTCTTTATCCTAAAGCAAACCAGGCAAAGAAACATACAACGTTTGCAAAAAAGGGAACACAGTGTATACCCAATAGTAACTTGCTGGTCAGAGATTTCCCAATGATCAGGACACCAATAGTTTCCATTCCTCCATGTAGAACACTTTTTCCTACACATATTACAGGAAGTATAGTACCATGGACTTCGAGACTCAACAGATCTGACAATTCCACCACAACGATGCTTCTCATCCTATTAAATTTTAAAAATAAGATACATTGGTCAAACCAAGACCAGACAAATTTGCACATAATCTGAAGCAACAGACATGATAACAGAGTGAAACATGCATACCACCGAAGCACCAGCACGGTACAAATCATGGAGTTCAAGTATGGTCCTCGTGCGACGGTCAGCATCTGCAAGAGCAGCCTCATGTGTAGCAAACTGAATGGGAAGACCTGCAACAGGATTCCGTGCTCCAGCAAAGCTACAACAGGAGGAAAAAAAACAGATTAGTAACAGAACAAAGAGCAACAAAACTTCAAAGGGCTGATCAACAAACTCACAAAGTAGTCAGACTGTAGGCCTCAGGAATGCGAGGGCTAACAACTATGCGGGCGGCAGAAGAGCTTGAACATGTGTACTCACCTTCTGCAAAACATGAACAAACAGAGGGAACATAAAAATCTCCCGCACAATGTTTAACAACCAAAATGGCAAAAAGTACAAACATTACCAATCAAACGGCCAACCATGAGGCTCCCAACCGCAATAATCACAGGCTCAATGGAATCTGCCTGAACCAAAGCAACACTGTCCAGGATCGTGGTTAATTCATTCCAGAGTGTGATCGAAACTCTCTGGCCCCTAAAACAACAAAAATATTAAGTTAAAAAACAAACCGTGACCGAAAGGAAACCTCAAGGAGCAGGGAAAAAAACATACTCAGCGTTTTCAAGGACCAAAACTTGTTTTGGAGTGGATCCATGATTGGTAAGTTGATGATCAACCCCACTGATAGAATGGAGGCGCCCAACAACATCTGATGTACAGGGCCAGAAGGAATGATAAACACAAAGAGTGAGAACAAACCAGATATAATACAACAAAATTGAAAGGAATAAAAGCAAACGCACACAGCACCTGAGAGGATGCGATTATCACCAGAACGCTTTGGGAGCTCATTGAATGGCACAGACTCAAAGGATTCGACAGGAAAATCGGCAGCAGGAAGAACACAAGCCTGAAAACTTGTGGTCTTTGACAATTCCATGATAAGATCCAAAGAGCATGCACGATAAAGATTCCTTGCTGCGGCAAGACCAAAAGCCCGAATTATGTAGATAGTCCCAACACGCAGAACACCTTCGAAAGCATTTCCCAGAGAAACATCTGCAATGCTTTGTATGAGCATGCCCTGCATGCAAGCATCAGAGTCCAGGGACAGCGAGTCAACACGAGAACAAAATTGGTAAAAAGGTAAAAAAAAACGGTTAAAGAGTTAATCTTATAGTACCGTTTGGTCCACCCAGAGACAACGGTGATTGAATACCCTGGATCCATCAGGATTCTTCGAAAACCACATATGAAGCAGACGCAGACGAAGAATAACATCTCTGCTGGGACCCTTGAGATTGCACAACAACACCGCATCCATAATAATCCCAGGTACAGGGCAAGAACCCCGTCGAAGAACCGATGCAGAACAAAAGAAGCCCCTAAACAGCAGACGGATGAGAAGAGAAACAATCAGAACAGGAAAATGTAAGCGAGAGAGAACCCATGAGGTGAGAGAAAACCTCTTAAATACTAAAGTGGAAAAACATAATGGGGAGAGGTTTTCCAAGTAGAGAGAAGCAAACAGTGACAGCCGCCCAAGCGCAGCCCATCCCTGCAAATGATGTGAAACACAATCGATAAGCACGCCCAGGTGAACATTTTTGCTTTCTCAAAGGCCCCTCTCAGCTCAAATTCCAATTGGAAAAAGTGACATGACCTCGATCAATCAACCGAGTAAATCTTCTGAACACTTTCATCATGAGCGAAGACCCCAGGTTTCAGAAGGCACAGCCCCTAAAAGAACATGGCCTTGCCCCAAGCAACATGCAAAACCACTGAGCAACAAAGCCTTCCAGACCCCCACCCACCCATGGCCCACCATCTCCGAGCCTCCCACCCACAAATCCGTCGATCACCTGCAAAGCCCGGCTGAAATCCATCCAATCAAGCAACTAGGCAGGCTCCAGCCACCGAGAGGGCCCTGGTGACCAACGCGTTCATGGACCACAACCGATCCAGCAGACCAAAACAGCCCAACGACCAAGTTCCATCCCAACCGACCCGCCAAACACCCGTCCGATTCCAATGAGCCCCCACCCAACGCCAGCCCACACAGCGCCAGCTTCCGGGTTATAACAGTACATCTTGGTCAGCATGAGCAGTAAAAGCAGTCTGCTTGTGCAGTACCAGGTCCTGCGGTGGGATTTCTTCTTTCAATGAGTGACAGAAACTTGTATAAACAAACACAAATCCAAAAAAAAAACTCAGAAGTGGAACTCAACTGATGATTCACCAAATGATCCGCCTCCATGAGTTGGGGCTTGGGCCAACTCGTTTCTATAGTAAGCCCAGGTACGCGACTTGCGTGACCCACAGCCACAGCCCAACCCACCATCTTTAACTAACGTCACCTAAGGGGCCCGCCCTCCCCGACGAAGAAGGACCGTAGAATTTTACCAGCTTCCACGATTTGTACGGGCATCCCCACCCACGCCCACAGTAAATCTGCCGCCCCGATAACCCAACACCACACCCTACCGGTTCCCGCGAAAACCCGCCGCTGCTGCTGCGGCGATTATACCTTAATTCTCTCTCTCACTCTCTCGAATTAATCCTAATCCAATCGTATTATCAGTTTTCACTTTTCAATTTTTCCATTATGTTTTAATTAATTAATAAATCACCCGCCCTTCCTCCCCAGCCAAATCCCCCTTTTGTTTGTCCTTTTCCTTTCCCCCTCTGATGGCGAGATCCGGCGGCGGACGATGAGCAGGGGCGGCGGAGGAGGAATTCGGACGACGTCGTTCCACAGAAAATCATCATCAGAAACAGCGTGCTTGGTGGTCGGCTGCGTGACGATGAAAGGACTCTTCAAGCCCAGGAGCCGGACACCGGTCGAGCTCGTTCAGCACCTCCGCGAACTCATCCTCTTCGCCCTCCGCAACCCCTCCGATGTCCCCAAAAAGAAGCGCGAAGACAAGGTAAGGTTCCTCTCCTCTCTCTCTCTCTCTCCCTCCTTTTCTCGCCCTTTCGATTCTGCAATCAGAATTGCCTTCGGAATCAGACATTAGAATTACAACACCAATCCACGATTGCACTTGTTGCATGCTCATGTTGAGGCTCGATCCGACGTTTGCTGGATCTGCTCCCAATGGGTTGGATTGGCAATTGTAATGTCATTCTGCAATTGTACAGAGCCTGATTCATTCATAAGAATGCGAGACAACAACAACGTACGAAGTGAATCCAAAATTGTTGTGTGTGTTTTTGGCAGATGGCAGAGCTAGGAAAAACTCTAGTGGAGATAAGGACTATCCTGTTCGGGGAAGGCCAATCCGAGCCCAATGCTGAGGCTTGCTCACAATTGACCCAAGAGTTCTTTCGTGAGGACACAATACGTATCCTCATCGTTTGCATCCCAAAACTCGACCTCGGGGTAAATATTTGTGCCGTTACCTTGTTGCTGAGATTCATCCCTACGAAAAGTTTGATTCTTGCTGTCACAAAATTGTTTGCAGTCTCGTCAGATTGCGGCACGGGTGATTACGAACTTGCAGAAGCAGAAGGTGCAAGGGAGGCTGGTGGCTCCGCAGTACATGGAGAGCAATTTGGATCTTTTGGACATTTTGCTACCTGGGTAAACCTTTTTAATATTGGCTTTTCTATGAAGCAAGACAGTCAATTCGAATCCAGTTTTCATAAACGTGTGATTATTTGGTGCTAAAATGCAAAATGTAATCTTTATCTTTCGTTCACAGTTATGCAGATGACGAGATAGCATTACCATATGGATTAATCGCAAGGGAGCTAATATGCCATCAGGTGGTGGCAAAGTAAGCTCCCGCTGCTGCTGCTGATAACTAACAGATCTGTTTTGATTAACATCAACCGAATTGTGTGTATTGAATCTGAGTCTGTTCTTCAGGTATGTCCTCGAATCAGAGCACATGCGCAATTTCTTTGAATACATTCAGATTGAGACATTTGAAATCTCATCGGATGCTCAAGCCACTTTCAAGGTATACGTATTTTTTTTTTATATGTGTGTGTGTCTAGTAGTCAACTTGTATTATTTAATTCCAAATCTGTTATGGAGCTGGAAGAGGCCTTTCTTAATTCACCCAATCCAAGCACAATTCGTTTACCCTTTTTTTTCTTCTTCTTGACTGACATTTCTGATTGTCCCGTTAAAAAAAAAATCATAATTGCAGGAACTTCTCACAAGACATAAATCAACCGTTGCTGAATTTCTGACCAACAATTTCGACTGGGTAATTAAGCTCAAACTTTTCTTAGATGTTTGAGGAGTTCGGTTAACGTTCCGAATGAGGCGTTTATAGCTAGCTATACACATGGCTAACGTCTCTGTGCTGTGATCCACCAGCATAAATCAACCCAGCAAAATACAATGTTTGAGGTTTTTTCTTAACTAATTAAGCAGTTCATTAACAAACCCATTACGTCTCTCTGCAAACTTCTTCATCCTTTCAGTTCTTTGTGGAATATAATTCAAAGTTGCTAGAATCCAAGGAATACATAACCAGAAGGCAAGCTGTCAAGGTATCCATTTCTTGATCCCCACATATACTGACTATTGGCAAATTACTCCCCAAAAACTTGCACCTTTTCTAATCTGTAATATCCCTTCTTACTTACTCACTCAGCTCCTGGGAGATATGCTGCTTGATCGATCGAATATGGTGGTGATGGTTCGGTATGTGAGCTCGTTGGATAACATGAGAATAATGATGAACCTTTTCAGAGTAAGCTCCTCTATCTCGCCCTCTCTCTCCCTCTCTCTCCCTCTCTCTCTCTCTCTCTCTCTCTCTCTCTCTCTCTCTCTCTCTACAATTTCTGGTATCCAAAATTTGATGATGCGCCAATTTTTGCCTTGTTGCTTGGGCAGGAAGAAAAGAAGTCGATACAGATGGAAGCTTTCCATGTGTTCAAGGTATAATTTTCAAATTTGATGGCTGACACCTCCATGCTTCTGTTTAAAGACACGATCCACATCTTCCCTCCATTCGATTCTACCTTAATTTGGCTGAGTCAGCATCGCCAAGTAGAATTGTTATGTGACAAAGTCACTGCATACGCATTTTATGCACCCTCAAACTCGACCAAATTCTTCTCCAACTTGACCCCAGAGCCCGCAAAACCTGATTCCTAACCCATTTTAAAGTTCTCTTGGGAATAGTTGAGTTGGGTGCGTGAGGTGTTTACTGGGCGATTTTCGTGATAGTACGAGGTTTGTGTGGCATGCTCCAACTAACGGGCCATCGGATTGTTTTGTTGCCAGCTCACGTAGTTTAGTTAGCATTCTGTGTTTTTCAGTTTGGGGACTGTTTTGTTACAATCTCTATCTATAATCTTGCGACCATTTAAGCATTTAACCACCTCTATTTCTGCAGCTGTTTGTTGCGAACCAAAGCAAGCCTCCTGAGATCATTGGTGTGCTGATTCAGAACAAGAACAAGCTCCTCAGGTTCTTAGCTGGTTTAACAACTGAGAAAGGTGTGGCGTGAACTTTAATTGTTTGAATCTAAGCAATCTCTCTCTTACTTGGAATGCTTTGGGAATCGACCATGTTTAGCTTCTTAAGCATTGTTTGTTTGTTTGTTTTGCAGAGGATGAACAGTTTGAGGCAGACAAATCTCAAGTGATTAGGGAGATTGCAACCTTAGACACCAGAGAACGTGCAATCACTGATTCAGATAATGAAGCTGAATCCTAATCTGATATGGATTTTACTCTGAACACATGATATGGAAACGAACTGACTAACATCAATCATTCTTTCTTTCTTTCTAGGACTTGTCTGAATTCTCTGTTTGTTTCTTCCTTTTTCCTTCTCCTCTAATTGCCTTTTTGTTTTAAAAAACACGGTAAACAACAGAGTTCATCACAGCAGATAGTGCTTGTATAAAGAATCAAAGACTACAACTACGCAAGTATTTCGTTTTAGTTTTCCCTTTTACCGGTCACATGAAGCACCGTGTCTTATATTCTGCTTGTTTCATGATCCAATTACTATTTTCGTATTAAAATAGAAGAAATATGTGAATTAATGATTTATCGTCACAACACAAACTCAAAGGACTCATATTTGGAAGAGTACTTTAAATCCAGAGCATCCGCAAGTGGTAAGGTTCAATTTTTATTTTATTTTTCCTGTAGAAAGACAGTCGCTGAAGCGTCCTAATATCATTATCGACTACATGAGTTGGAGCAAATCCATTACATAAAAAAGGACCTATCTATTAAGCAGCGTCCATGAAACCGTACCGTACCGGCGGTTCAACCACGAAATACCAGTATCGGAGGCTAAACCGGTAGGCGGTATTTAACGGTACAACGGTTGAACTACGATAAAACCACGGTTTTACCATAAAATACCCTACAGCTGAATTTTCCGGTATGGTTTCCGGTACGGTTTCATGGACCATGCTATTAAGGCACGAATTGCTCACATTGAATAGATATGTGATAAAATTTACACTATGGTCAGTTAAGTAATCGATCGCAAAATTGCATTCTCTTGTACATGGGAGATTTGAACTCTCCACTCGTAATTCCACAAATGCGAACTTGTTGAGCAAGGAAACCATTTCCCAAGCAATCGCCAACCACTCACCGGCTCCTTTCACTTATGCCACAATAATTGAGCAGATTACCAGATTACAGAGGTAGACTTCAATACATTTTCCTAAATTGTTTCTGATCGGACCTCTTGCTGCTGCTCCTTCAATTTGATTGAATTTGTACCCTACCCTCGGAAGGCAACTTTCAGGCTAGCTCCATCTCTGTTCATTGTTTAAGAGGTGGCTTAAAACACTAGCTCCATTTTTATTAGATTGAGGTGCGTGAAAGAACAAGTACTTTTCCAAGTACGTTCTGTGTTCTTAACTAGAGCTAACCTAGTGAGATTACAGTTTACACTTTGCTTTTTATAATCCAGAGTCCAGACTATATATTTGGTAAAGAGGGGCTTGGGTAAATGGTAGAAGAAAGAATCACATACAAAACAAATGGTCTCTATATATTATGTGACAAGATCTAAACTATAGGAGTACGTACAATCACTCAAACCATCAATCAAATCTCTCCCAAAATAGAATAGACGCTCTCTACAAACCATCGAGTCCTGTAAAACAAGCCCTTCCCACCATATAGTGTATAAACACTAAACTCGCAATGACAGACCCAGAAAAGAAGAGAAGAAGACGAAGGAAAATTCAAAAAAGTAGAAGGAAAAAAGAAAATACACACTAATGGGGAGGGGCAACAAATGAATCATTCTCAAAAGGAAGAGGGTTTAGGCATGCTGCTGTGTCCTGTCACCATATCCATTTCCTCCATTCGCACCATTGGCATACTTATCAGCAGACCCAACAGCCCGCTTCTTCTTGATGACAATGAGCCATGTCACAGCTTCCCACACCAGAGCAGTGACCCCCAAGGAGATGATGACGCCGGTGTACGCGCTCTTCCACTTCTTCTCCGGGTTGAGGATGTCGAATCCCTCGTAGATGTTGGTGATGCTGAGGGCGATGGTCGCATACCCGATCGCGTAATGGTAGAAGTTCCAGTACACTCTGTACTTGTGGTCTGGCTTTGGCCTCAGCAGCATGGCAAACATCTGGTTCAACAGAACAAAACACACCAAGACGTTTCCTTCCGTTAGTATCTTGTTCATTACAATGAGAATGGGACAGTGCGTAATGGTAGCTAGCGTGAGCTTCAAGTAACTTTTTCTCCTAGCAATCATGTGATGAGGATATAATACACAAGAGCAGAATCCCCATTTTATCCCTCTCGTTTGAATATTGACATGTGGAAGAGGCAAGTGGGGTTTTGCTTCTATTCAAAGATAATATATGCATATTGCTTAGGTTAGGAAAAGTCAAGACATCGCAATGGAAGGTTCATTCAGCGAAACAAATGTTGACCTTTTCAGGCATGTGCTAGAAAATTCAAACCATGAACCAGTTGCTGCTATCATACCAACACCAATGCACCGACCCTACCAGAAGATTGGACGGAAGGCAAAGATGAAATAAATGGTTGATGGTAGAGGGGACACATTCGTAATCTTCTCATATGCTAGTCTAGATACCAAATCCAACAAGTTGAACAAAGAAAAGATTTGTAAAGGATTAGACTTTTTAGTTAGGTTTACCTGAAGGGTGCCAAAGCAGAAGAGGGTGATGCCAATGTTCCTGTGCTTGTTGTACTGAATTCCAACACTGTCACTGCCGAGTTTGAGACCCGTCCCCCAGCCAGCAACACCAATGATGTAGGCAGACAATTGGCAGGCAACATGGAGGTAGAACCATGCTGGGTTTGCTACGTGGAACACCTTCACGTACCTTGCTATCATGGCTCCACAAGGCATCAGAATTCCCCAACTCACTGCATTCAGAACTCCATGAATCTGCGCCAGAAAGATGGAACAGAAAAGGTCAACCTTCTATTCTAGAGCAAACTAGAATGCATACTCCTTGTGGTTGTTAAGCTAGAAAATTTCGCCAGGTTAATTAGCACTTCACTGTGTAAACCCAACGACTCAGAATCCAACACCACCACATGGACCAAATAGGAAACTTTTTGTCTAAGAAAACTGGAATTTCTCGACCTCGAAGGTCATTTTCATAATCTTTTGAATGTCTGTAAAACCACATCAGAGATCCAACCAGTAAAGACCTCGAAAACTTTCAACACTCTCAGACCAGAAAGATCAAACTATGTGACTCTTTCTTATGTTTGAGGAACCATATCGAAAATGCGAATCAGTCAAACAAACAGTTTGTTTTCCAAGTGACCCCTAAACTTTAAAGGCTCTCCATCTATGGTTCAAGGGCCGAGATTAGACAATTTGGAAGTGCTTAACAGCGCAATTAAACCCTAATCATCAAACTAAACTTCAATCAGACACAAAATCAGGGGAAAGGTGGGTGAAATTTTCCCAATATACTTACATTCCTCTTGCGGAGTCTTGAGTTACTGGCACCACCACCAGCAGTGGCAGCACCAGTCTGGAAATTAATGGTCCCAATCGACCTAACATTATCCCCAGTAGTGGAATGCATGGAAGGAGCCCCACTAGTCAAGGGCCCCTCTTGCCAAACCTGATTGGTCGACAACAAATTGGCATCCAGATGCAAAGTAGCAAAGATCAAAGTCTCCCCATTACTATGCTGAGCTCTGAGGTTGGAAACTCTAAAGCTCAAGGTACCAGGCCTCATGGAAGGGCCCAAGGAGTCGATCGAAGTGGTGTAAGCAGTCATGGAGCCGTTGGGCTGCTGGAAAGCGACCAAAGCTTGGGAGCCAACCATTTGGCCTCCGCTAGGGTTCAGAGCCCAACAGACCCAGTTGGTGGGTGAAGTTCCAGTCTTTCTGAAGGCTATATCGGCGGTGGAGTTCTCTTGGTGGAATGTCCAGTGGAGATACGCGGTGAGAACTGGTAGATCTACGCAGGTTGAGTAGACTTGGTTGCTTGGTAAGGCCAAGCCGTTGCAGGTTTGGGCTTGGGACGGTGAGGTGAAGAAGGAAAGGAAGAGGAGGAACCCAGTAAAGATGAGAGCTCCAAGTGATTTACCCATGGCGGACACTTGGAAAAAAAGGATTGATCTTTATGGTTGTAAGAAGAGAGTAGCGAAATCTGAGAAATGGGTTCTGCTCAACTTTTCGCCCTGGTATTTGGGTTGTGTTCTCTTGAACGGCTCTCTCTCTCTCACCAAAGGGAATTGAGAGAGAATTGTGAGAATGAGATGAGAGGGGAAAAGGGGAATCAGAGGGGGGTTTTATAAAGGGCTGTTTGTTTCGAAATTTTTCTTGAGGGAATTCGGAAGTGGAGAGGAAATAGCAGTTGAATGGGATGGTGGCTTTGCTTGTTTGCTGCCGAGTTGTAGGAATTTGGAGGGGAAAGGTGGAAAGGTCAAGGGGGAAGAAATTTTGCAAACTGGGTCGTATTTTTCTTTTCCATTTTGTTTGTTTAACAGAAAATAAGAGGAAAGGAGAGTTGTGGGTTGTTGACTGGTTCTACTTCTACGTGTGGAGTTGGTTTGTAGAATACTAATACTAGAGTCTTTTTCTAGTTTTCTCTTTTAATGATGCATTAAACAAGTTCTTAATCCCAGAGTTTGGTTAAACGAAGATTAAATGCAGTAACGTGTGCCTGCCATGGGAAGGAAGGATGATGGGAGTTAAGTAGTTAACAAAATATCTAATGCATTTAATTAAATATTATTTTCCCCCTACGTTTCATAATTTCATTTGGGGAAGGGGACTGTCTTTGTCTGGTTTGCTTGTCCTGTAGAGTAAGATAACTTTTTTTATTATAAGTAGTAAAGAGATTATATGAAATTTCTTCATTCTTGATTTGTTGGGAATTTTACTTAGGCCAGCAGCAACTGGAGAATCATATTTGTTTGTGATATTGATTCGATGTTTTAACTTTCTTCTTATTATTATTGAATTAGGTTATTAACATTAATATAGCATGGAAGATTCAATAGCATATAAATTAAAACATGTCCAATGTATGAAAAATCTGCTACAAAATCACATTTATATAATAAAAACATAAACGAGACAAGGATGGTAGTTGAATTACTACAAAATTATTTTATTAATCTAGTATTCTCATAATAACTTCGGTTGACATATGCTATGATTTTTATTTTTACATTGAGCATGAACTTCCCGAATGATAAATGTTAATTATGGCATTGCCTTTTACAAGAGAGATGTGTCAAGACCTAAGTGAGCATGCAAATGATGATTCAAATAGTGTCTTTCTGAAGGAAAACTATGTTTATTGTACTATATCTAATCATAAGTTAGAAATTTTGTTTTTATTCATTTCCTTCTAATATGATATTTTTTAAATTTTGTATTTTTTACATTTGTAGATTTTTCTATAATCCAAAAGTTTTGAGATGTGAGATCCTTTAAAATGAAAGTTTCATTAATCAGGATGAGATAGCATGACTACCATTAAAGTGGTTGGAAAAATGACACCCCATAATAATTATAGAATTTTAAGGTAATAAATTTGTGTTGCAGTTAATAATATATTCGAATTAAAAACTAATATTAATTACTTTAATTTTTTTTCCAGAGCAATGGTAGTTGAAAAAAAATTAATGTAATTAATATGAGTTTTTAATTCACAAAAGAACTATAATTAATATGGGTGTCATTTTTTTTACCCTTAGAGAGTAGTCAAACTAACTCATCCCAATCATTATGAAAGAGTTGCTCATGGTTTTGCTCTCTAACAAAAGAGAAGTGTTTGGAGGCACTTCAGATGTTTGGTTTTGTATTTTGTTCACTCAGAAATTTGTATATCCAATAGATCATGTTAACTCGTTCCTTCTGTGCAAAAATTTAAAAGAAGATACCATATGGTATAGAGTTGGTAACGAAAGATATGAATTTTTTTCTCAAAAAATAATAAAAATGGATATCGTTTTGTAGAGCACAACAAACTCCTTTCTATTTGTGTAAAAAAAATTGAAATCCAAATCAGAACGAAGAAGGTATGATCCGATTAAGAAAAGTAAAGGAAATAAAATGTAATTAATTCTCAACCGTTATATCTGCAGCCCACTTAAAATGAAGGGTCAATATTTGGTTACTCATTTTAAGCACCCTAACTTGAACCCTTTGTGTGGTAATTTACTCATCTATATTGAACAACATCACAATTCATCATAGAAACTTCTAGTTTATATGTTATTTGAGAAATTCTAATAAAATAAAAAGTCATGTTAGTAAGTTTATAATAATAAGGGTAAATATAATTTAATAGTCAAACCTTTCGTTTTAAACAAAATAATAGACAATCTTTTCAAAAGCAAAATAATAGCCTAATCGTTAACTTTCCATCCGGTCAAACGTTAGTTGACTACAGTGACGGATCCAGAAATTCTACATAGGGGTGTCCTCTTCAAAAATTAAATTAAAAATTAAAATTATATTAAATATGAAAATATCTGACTAATAAAAGTTACATTAAAAGTTCAGACATGTTTCGTAAAATGGTAAAATACATTCGGTGTCTATACTGCTCAACAATGATCTTTCGACATATCCTAGTAGAAAAGGGTATCCAGTAATTAAGTTTAATCGTTTGCTTTTAAAAATAATTTGGGATAAGAATAACATTTTGCTATTATATTTGGATCTAAAACACAATAACAAATGAGTTGTAGTGTGATTGAAAATATGTTTACTAATAGTGGCAGTGTCTCAAGTTTAAATCACATAAACTACTACTAAAATATTATTTGTACTAATATGCAAACTACTATGGGAGGTTGGATAATCGTTTTTTCCAAATTTTAAGGGTGTCTCACTACCACTTAAACATTTTTCCCTCATATACAAACTACTATCGGAGGTTGAATAATCGTGTTTCCAAATTTTAGGGGTGTTCCGGGACACCCCTAGACATGCATGTATCCGCCCCTGGTTGACTATCATATGGCAAAATCTTGCTGTGGTGGCATGAATTTGATGACGTGACACAAAATCAAACATTTGGCTATGCCACATGGATAATTATTAATTTTAACTAATTCTTATATTATTATGAAAAAAAAATTAAAAAATTATCGTATATCTTCTTTCCCTACCTCCCGCAACTCCATTAACCTAACAATCGAACCTACCTTTCCTCCAGCGAATCCCTGTCCTAAAACATATTTCTCTAACTCCTGGTTGTGTTAACCCCCAAAGCCAACCTTCCATGCACCAAACACTCTCACTGCGTTGCTTTTCCTTAGGAGTGCATATTTATTTTGCCTTAAAAATATCAATGTGTCATAATAATAAAAAAATCGATTGTTTTCCACGTCATTTCCAACTCAGCAAGTAAGTTGCCACATCAGAGTCAACTATCTGTTGACCGAACATAAAGTTGATGGTATGACTATTAAATAATTTTCGAAAAGGTTTGGCTATTGTTTTGTTTAAAACAAAATATTTGGCTATTATATTATATTTATTCTAATAATAAACTAGCTTCACATGTATCATTATATTATTATTTTGAATTTTTTTTTGTCTATTTGTGATATCATACTAAGTAAAATTCAGCTTAGCCCCTCGACGCACAATTCTTGGCTTCGCCCCTAACAACATCCAAACAATTGCCTCTTTTTGTGGCACGAGGCAAGGTTTGATGACATCAAAACAACCCTTGACATGTGGGTTTCCTATCAAGATACCGACAACATTCAATCAGTCTAACAGTCTCATTGCTGAATTTCCACTTCAAAATCTGAGGGTGAAGTTTATCGCTATTATAGCCATAGTCTTATAGGAATTTTAGGAATAGTAACTTGTAGCTTGTATTATTGTGAAACCACAAAGGGGTTTGTATAGATTACAAGACTTGGACAATAAGTAAGAGAACCACAATACTAGAAGGGCACGGAAATATAAGATTATTCCTAATCTATCTCTAACACGCCCCCGCAAGATGATGGTGCGAAGAACAACATCAATCTTGACCAAAATACGCCAATCTTGAAGAACACGCCCCTGCAATGTGATGGTGTAGAAGGTGCAAACTCGTCGAATTCTTGTGCTTGAAGAACGAAGCCAATTAACCGTCGTCTTGGAGAAGAAGAAATCATCAAACTTGCAATTCATATGTTGGAACCAACTCACTCGTCGTCAAAATTTGACCAGAAACGAGATGAAGATTAATAAATTGGTTTTGAAACGTAAACTGGTGTAGGACACGAGGCACTCATCCGAATGACCGTTGTCGGAGAAGCTTTCTTCGTTCCATACACGTGAAGAAGAGATGGTTGGAGGATGACCGTGGCTCCACCATATAATTCTGCAACAATCTTAAAATAAGATAAGAACAATAACGTCGGCTATAAAAACTGGATCTTGATATCCAAGGACAAGGCAGCAGGGAACGATCCACGAAGAACAAAACAATCAGCAGAATCTGCAACAAAAATTAACGATTATGTGAGGGTACAACTTCAAGTTGTAAAGTTGTACCGTAACATAATGGTACAAATTGCTTTATGGTACAACCTAAACTTATACATTTAATGTTATGGTACAACTTTAAGTTGTACATTAAAGCACCAATACTATATAGCATAGTAGAAGTGCTCTTATAATATGTGATTGAGAATGGTTTGGGGACTGGTATCTGGAGGTCGGGCTTGGGCGCTGATGGGGACGTGGGAGTGGGGAAACCATTAGGAATTTATTGAGTAAAAATCTAATAAAGATTAACTAGGACCACGGGAAGGAAAAACAATAGGTATAAACTAGTAATAGGGATTAGGGAATGCAAGAGGACTAATGAGCGGAAGGGAAAAAGCGATCGGGTGAGTGCGGGCTCATCCCTCCGGTGAAGGGAGGGAAAAAAAGGTTAAGGGTTCCTGGATCAGTAGGCTGTTAAGCAAGAGGTTCTAATACCATATAGGAGTTTTAGGAATAGTAACTTGTAGCTTGTATTATTATGAAACCACAAAGTGGTTTATATAGATTACAAGACTTGGACAATAAGTAAGAGAGCCACAATACTAGAAGGAAACGAAAACACTAAGAACTATACTAAAAGTACAAGGAAATATAAAATTATTTCTAATTTATTTCCAAGTAGTCTTACAATTTTACTCAACAAATTTGTACTAATCAACACTTAACAAAATCACATATACAAAATAGATTTTTTTATCCATTAAGCACGAATTTCATGCTAGTTATGTTAGTACATTGGTTGGACTTGGATTATTTCTAGACTTCTGGAATCCTTTCTCTCTCTCTATGAGAGAACAAAAAATTAGTTGATCCATGTTTCAACCACTCCTCCATGTTCACACGTGCTTTGTTCAATGACCTGGTCTGTAGTTGTTACTTTGATTGTGGTTCAAGAACAAAAGACCAGAATTTCGGCTTTGAATGAATATATAAATGAAAAAATATTAATTAGTTGATGACTTTTTTTTAGCACATTAGTTTATGACTTTGAAAATATATATATAAGTAAAAGGAGAAATGGGCCATACACGTTGCTGCTTATGCCAATTGGCAAAAGA